AATATGTTTATATTTTCGAGTAACATTTTATCTAATTGGAATTAGGAATGCTTTTAAAACATTTGGATGTGAGTTTCTGAGGAAAATGGTGACCTGGGAACATTCTAGAGAATACAACCATCCAGAAAAAGTCAAGGGCTGGTTTTGGCAACCAGAAGGGGTTCTGCATACAGGGAGGCATCAAGACCTTGAAAAAAGGTGCCAGTTGGTGCTAAAGATGTAAATGAGAGTTAACGCGAGGTGGAGAGGGTGCATGATGAGAGTCAGCTGTCTTAGGTGGATACACAAAGAGGAAGGGAGAAATGTTTCTGCTGTTTGCATCATGCAACAATGAAAGAGGCACACTGTTCCTCGGGTGATGGCACTTAGGAGAGGCAGTTTCCACATTGGACTGAGGTCAACCTGTCTCTACTTGGACTTGTGAACTGACATCAACACTTACATCAACAAAGGGGATAAGGCTGGGTGTGGTGGCTCATGTCTGTAATTCCAGCTCTTTGGGAGGCTGAGGCAGGAGGACTGTTTGAGCCCAGGAGTTTGACATCAGCCTGGGCAATATGCCAAAACCCAGTATCTACAAAAAATACAAAAAATTATCTGGGCCTGGTGATACACACCTGTAGTCCCAGCTACTTGGTAGGCTGAGATACAAGGATTGCTTGAGCCCAAAGGTTTAAGGCTGCAATGAACCATGATTGCACTGCTGCACTCCAGCCTAAGCCACAGAGTGAGACTTTGTCTCAGAACAAGAAATAAACAACAAAGGGACTACGCTAATCACCAGCTAGTCACTAAAGGAAAAATGCCTACCCCAACTGTCAAATCAGAGGCAATGCAAACCTGCACCCTCTCAGTATAAATAGACAAAGAAAGATCACAACCCACTCAGGAACATGGCAGCTCAGTTAGAAGAGATTAAACTGAAAAACTGCAATAAGCCTCTACTATGGAGGTGGAGCTAAAGTAGAAAATAGAAGGAAACCTAGATAAAATATGATTAAAACTCTTGAAGGGTTACAATCATAGGACCAGAGAGAAGCCCCTGGAACTAGAAATAATGATTTCCTAATTTAAAAATTCGATAGAAGGATGTAAAAACAAAAGTAATATGTTTTTATTTCTTTTTCTTTTTACCTTTTATTTTAAGTTCAGGGGTACATGTACAGGTTTGTTACATAGGAAAACTTGTGTCATGGGGTTTTTTGGTATAGATTATTTTGTCACCTAGTTATTAAGCCTGGTACCCATTAGTTAGTTTTCCTGATCCTCGCCCTCCTCCCACCAATAAGCCCCAGTGTGTGTTGTTCCCCTCCGTGTGTCCACGTGTTCTCATCATTTAGCTCCCACTTATAAGTGAGAACATGTGGTATTTGGTTTTCTGTTTCTGCCTTAGTTTGCTAAGGATAATGGCCTCTAGCTCCATCCATGTTCCTGAAAAGGACATGATTTTGTTCTTTTTTATGACTGCAGAGTATTCCATGTGTACCACATTTTCCTTATCCAATCTGCCATTGATGGGCATTTAGGTGGATTCTATGTCTTTGCTGTTGTGAATAGTGCTACAAAGAACATATGTGTGCATGTGTCTTTAATAATAGAAGAATTTATACTCCTGTGGGTATATACCCAGTAATGGGATTACTGGGTCAAATGGTATTTCTGTGTTTAGATCTTTGAGGAATTATTACACTGTCTTCCACAATTGTTGAACTAATTTACACTCCCATCAACAGTGTATAAATGATCCTTTTTTTCTGCAGCCTTGCCAGGATCTTTTGACGTTTTAGTAATAGCCATTCTGACTGGTGTAAGATAGTATCTCATTGTGGTTTTGATTTGCATTTCTCTAATGATCAGTGATGTTGAGCTTTTTTTCATGTGATTGTTGGCTGCATATATGTCTTCTTTTGAAAAGTGTCTGTTCATGTTCTTTGCCCACTTTTTAATGGTTTTTTTTTTTTCCTGTAAGTTTAAGTTCCTTAAAGATGCTGGACATTAGACATTTGTCAGATGCACAGTTTGCAAAAATTTTCCCTCATTCTGTTGTCTGTTCACTATGTTGATAGTTTCCTTTATTGTGCAGAAGTTCTTCAGTTTAATTAGATCCCATTTGTCAATTTTTGCTTTTGTTGCAATTGCTTTTGGCATCCTTGTCACGAAATCTTTGCCTGTTGCTATGTCCAGGATGGTATTGCCCAGGTTGTCTTCCAGGGTTTTTATAGTTTTGGGTTTTACATTTAAGTCTTCAATCCATCTTGAGTTGATTTTTTAATATGGTGTAAGGAAGGGGTCCAGTTCCAATCTTCTGCATATGACTAGCCAGTTATCCCAGCAGCATTTACTAAATAGGGAATCTCTCCCCCATTGCTTATTTTTGTCAGGCATGTAGAAGATCAGATAGTTGTAGGTGTGTGGCCTTGTTTCTGGGCTCTCTATTCTACTCCATTGGTCTATGTGTCTGTTTTTGTACCACCACCATGCTGTTTTGGTTACTGTAGCCCTGTAGTATAGTTAGAAATCAGGTAGTATGATGCCTCCAGCTTTGTTCTTTCTGCTTAGGAATGCCTTAGCTATTTGGGCCCTTTTTTTGGCTCCATATGAATTTTAAAAAAGGTTTTTCTAGTTCTGTGAAGAATGTCAATGGTAGTTTAATAGGAATAGCATTGAATCTATAAGTTGCTTTGTGTAGTATGGCCATTTTCATGATATTGATTCTTCCTATCCATGAGCATGGAACTTTTTTTATTTGTTTGTGTCACCTGTGATTTCTTTGAGCAGTGTTCTGTAGTTCTCCTTGAAGAGATTTTTCACCTTCCTAGTTAGCTGTATTCATCAATATTTTATTCTTTTTGTGGCAATTGTGAATGGGATTGGGTTTCTGATTTGGCTGTCAGCTTGACTGTTGTTTGTGTATAGGAGTTAGTGATTTCTGCACAAGGATTTTGTATGTTAACTGCTGAGACTGCATTCATGTTTCAGAAGAGTAAATTTTCAAAAAATGAAATCATAGTTGAGAAAACAGAAAAGACTGGTCCAAGAGACCCAATATTTACGTAGTTGCTAATCCAGAAGAAGAAATAAGGAACCATGGAGAAGTAGAAATCAAAGAAATAATAGAAAAAATCTTCCATAAACTATGCCTTTCCATAA